TTGGTGAATCAGCAACAAGATTAATGCTACCACTCGACATTAGAACTATTGCTAATAATCCTTTCATTTGTTTAAGGCCTTACCACGTTGTCAAGCAGTCTCAAGGTGCTTCACAAGTTATGACTGTAAAGTGAGTGACTATGTATTTGTAGGCGAACGTGGAAGCCAATTTCCACACATTAATAAAGCAGACGTCAAGTGAATTTTATCTGGGGGATTGTTGAAAAACTCCCTTCTCTTTTCGAATAAATAATAACAATAATAATGATTACATTTTGCCTTTCATGTCAGGAGCATGTCCCAAAGTACTTTACAGGATTTACTGTAAATTGGTGTGACTGTGCGTTTTGTGGCCAAATAGAAGCATAAAGGAGGAGATTAAAGAGAATGTTTGCACAATGAGTTATTGGGATGCGTACACATTGCCACAAGTGGCTGTTGAAGCCAATGTAACTGTCATTTAAAAAAGGAAATTAGATATATGCTTGAACAATTCAATAAAGATATTCAGTAAAAGGGATCTGGGAAATAGCGAGAGAATTAGAGCAAGACGGCTCCAGTGGGGACCAAATATACCTCATGCATAAAAGGCTGAATAGCCTGCTGTGCTGACATTTTCCCAGTTTAGTTGTTTGAAATGCTGACATGTAGGCAGCTGATTTAATTTAAAGTATTTCACTGAACCAGATGACAAATATAAAATTCACAATCCTCAAAAGGATTAGAGAGCAGAAGTGGTGGATATTGTTGAACAAATTCCAGGAAAATAAGTTAATGCTTCAAAAATGTGCTTGAGTGCAAAAGTCTTACATTTTTAAGGATGTGCAGAAAATGGGAGATTTCTTAAGAGAATGCGTAGGGTGAGTTGGAGCTTGGGAAGAACAAGCGAGGAAAGTTGATAGGAAGATTAATAATATAATAATCCTTGCAATTGATATAGCACCTTATCATATAATTGAGATGTCTCAATGTGGTTCACAAGGTGGAGTCCTGTAGCTCAGTGGTTAGAGCACTCGCTTTGCAAGCGAGAGACCTGAGTTCAATTCCAGGCAGAGGGCGAAACCTTGGGCAAGTTTCCTTACTCCACACAGAGCCTAATAATAATCCCTCCAAAACCAAAAACAATAATAAATTGGTCATTTTCAATCTACGACTGTTTGTGGGACATTGCTGTGCGCAATTGGCTGCCGCGTTCGCCCACAAATACACAGTCAATTCACTTTACAGTGTGTTCTGTGAAGCGCTTTGGGAAGTCCTCCCGACGTGAAAAGCGCTATATCAAATGCAAGGAATATTATTATTATTAAGGTTTCACTGTAAAATGTCGTGTGACTCTATTTTTTAGGGAAACTTCATCAATAAATAGAGAGAAAATTTGGAATGAAACGAGAAAGAATGGAGGCCAAAGGCGAGACTATCAGGTGACAAGCTGCTTCTTGTAACCTTTCCAGGAGTGTAAGATTAAGGTTAGAAAAGCTTCTTTTTTGTTTGGTCAGCCGGGTGTCCGACATATGTGGAAACCCATCACAGTGCTTAAGAGTATCCAAATCAAATGAGAATTCCATGCATCCCATCTACACATGGAAATCCCAGAGATAGATTGTTGGAATAGAATGCATACTCATCCTGCTTACCTAATTCTGGAAAATATTAGGCACAGATTGGCAAGAGCTGAGGCTTTGGGACCCCAGAGTGTACGTTAGGGTTCCCGCTGGAGTCTAACCAATGAAAAACGCAGCTTAGAAAATTTAGCTTGGAAAAGCTTCCCTATATAGAGAAGCAGGATCCAAGTTGTGAACAAGCTTGTGCTTATAGAAAGTTAAAATTTACTGAGGGGAAAGAAATGTTTGACCAAAAGATGAGACTGACAGTATTTCAAAAATATTTAATAAAACGAGTACTCCAAAACATCGCTGCATTTTTCTATAATCAATGTTAACTCTGTCAGTGACTGCAGGCCTCTGTTGCAGAAAATCCCTCTTATATCGGGATTCCATAGATAGATGCTGTAGGAGAGAAGCAGTCTTTCTGAGAGAGATGTACTGCCAAGGCAGGCTCAACTTTCTGAGAGCTGTTGTTCGTGCTTAATTCAACCTGTCTCAGGACAGAGAGGCTTCAGTACAAATAAAGGCTGAATATAATAAGAAGGAAATGGATGTCTATTCCCCCCTTCCCCCGCCCACACCTCCACTCACAGTAGTTGAGTGAGCTCTGGAATCATCTGTGCTTCTTACTGTTGCAGTAATGCAGTGCTTGTCTCTAAGTGATGGGTGGGTTGGATCGATACAGAGGTTTGAGTCCAGTCCTGCTTGTCTGTCTGGGTATTGATCAATGGTGCCGTATTCATCCTTTCTTACACTCAGCATTCCTCTCCTGGCTGTCAGCTCATTAATCATCCTCTCAAACAGCCCCACGTGCTTGCTGTCTCTCTAACCACACATGTACTTCATCCAAGTTAAGATGCAGTTATTTAATTCACGAGCCGTTTTAGAAATAAATGTACGTGGGGTAAATATTTTTACAATGTATTTATAATCGCTGGAGTAGGTTGCTGCAGTGCCTTTGCGTTCTAAACTACAAGTCATGAATACACATGAGCTCAGATTTGATAGTATTGGAATGGGTGACTTTGAGATTCAGGGTTCCAGTGTGTACAATGCTATAACACAACAGGACTATATGAACAATAATAATTATCCTTGCAATTTATATAGCGCCTATAACATTGAAACATCTCAAAGCATTTCATTTAGATGATTGCTGACAAGTTTGTTGACTGTGTATTCATAGACAAATGTGGCAGCCATATTGCAAGCAGCAAGATCCCCAAAGCAGCCATCTTTTAATCTTTAATTAATCTGGAAGATTGTTGGTGAGGCAGTGGGAGAGATTAATAATAATAATAATAATAATAATAATAATCCTTGCCTTAGATATAGCGCCTTATCACGTAGTTGAGATGTCTCAAAGAGGTAGATGAGACCTCAGTTTGATGGCTCATCTGAACAATAACCCCTCCAATAAATGAGCACAACCCCAAACTGTCAGTCTGAACTATGTGGTCAATGCTGGTGTAAGACTTGAAACCATGAGCTGATGCAGAAGCTAGAGTGCTGTTAACTGAGCCAGATACCATACAGTTTATTGCACTGAGATCCAGATAACTGACACCATATAATCTTCCTAAAGCAGCACACCCCTTATCCTCTATTATTAATTTATGATATCCAATAAAATAATCTTACATTACAAAATGAAATACCTATTATAAAGTGTAATTTCCATTCTCTTATCATGTGCGATTAGATATTTGAAAGTTAACTTTGAAGCATGAGGTTAGTCCTGAAGTTTAACAATTAGGAGCTATATTTTTTCTGATTTATACAGGCTACATATTGACTTAATGATACAGTTCTTTGGACATGCCTATAGAGGTCATTAGGTGAGACCAACACAACATGCTGATGCTCCAATCAGCTCTGCTATGGATTGGTAGGACTTTTTGGGTTATCTAGTCTGACACATATGGAAAACCCATCATCGTGCTTAGCATCCAAACCAGACTGAGAGTTCCACACACGTATGCCCTTTACACATGGAATTTTTCTAGTGTCTGGAACAGGCTCTCTCTCCCCAGTGGTACGCACCCTGCTTACCCAAATTCAAAATTACCAAATTTTACCTAAATTTGAGATGTCTGGAAGACGTGAAAAGCGCTATATCAAATGCAAGGATTATTATTATTATTATTCAGAAAAAAATTGGCACAGGTTGGCAAGAGCCAAGGCTTCTGGACCCTAGAGTGTATGTTTGGAAACTGCTGAAGTTTATCCATCTAAAACAACATAGAGCACTATTGAGAGCACTGTCTGGCAAGCTTCATGTACTTGTCCAGCTAGGACCACCCTATCCGATAGAGCTTTGACTTGCAGGGTTAACAGAAGAATCCCAACACCCAATGACTGGTCCGTCCCTCCAAATGCTTCCAGTGAGGCTGGCTGGTGGAGTGCCCTGGAATACTGCAGATACACCTGTCTCAGGAACTGCCACTGAGGATTGACTCAATTCCCACATTCCATTGCCAAGCGTGTCATATTGGAGTCGGGAGAGCTCCAAGAAGATCCTGTATTATATCTCCACCCCCCCCCACCCCCACCAACCCATCCGGAGGATAATCAGTGATAGAACATAGGTTGACATCAAAAAGCTATGCCTAACGTTTTCCCAAGTCACAAGCTCATTCCCAAATTTATGGAACCAAATGTACGGGAGGAAAGTTATGGTGGAACCAAAATGACCGACTTGTATAGCACCCGTTGGCAGTTGGATTACTGAGCGTGACGAGAGCCGCTTTTCTGCCCACTTGGGCTGGGAAACGCTAGTACGGAGCAAACGGTAAAGAGAAAGAGACAAGAAACGGAAACGTTTAGATTTTCAGCACAGAACGAGGCCGTTCGGCCCACGTGGCCAATTACCCGGCTACTTGCGCCCTTGTCCCTCTCGTCTTATTAACCCCATTTCCAGCTCTTCCCCATATCCCCAAATGGATTGACTTTGGTGTGTGTGTTTTTTTTCCCCTCGGTCGGTGCCCCTTGTGAATTATTCCTCAATCCCTAACCGCCCCCGAGCAAAGACCTCCTCCCTAAGTTTACTTCCAACCGCTGCAACCCAGCGAGAGAGCGGTGCAAAGTATTGCAAATCATTTTCTTTGGCAATGGAAACACCGCCGCATGTGTGTTTATCAGTGCACAGGAGGAAGAAATCAGTCCACAGTCCACACCCCCCCCCCAAAAGCCTCTGCCATCTGATACAACAGCTATTTCCGCATCTGGGGAAGGCGGACAGGGCTCGGCATTGTTCGGCAATCTCCGGCGAGTCCTTATATGGCAAACCGCTATGCTAATGAGCCGCGGGGGCGACCAATGGCGTTGGGGCGCGGGGAAGTTGTATGCAAAGCAGCCGGCGATCGGGCTGGGGGGTGGGTGGGGCCTGTCCTTGCGCATGCGCGCCGCGGCGCCCCCTGTTCCGTGGTGAATGGTGCAGTGTTGCCGAGAGGAAGTGAGTGAGTGAGAGAGAGCGCGCGAGCGCTGCAGCCTCGAGACTGGAGGAAGTGCAGTGAGGCGCGAGCCGCAGTTGTCCGTTAGAGAGCCGTGAGCTCGAGCGGCACTCACTCACTCTCACACGCACGCACGCACAGGGCTAGAGGCAGGGGCTGAGGAAACATGCCGCGGGTCGTCCCTGATCAGAGGAGCAAGTTCGAGAACGAGGAGTTCTTCCGCAAACTCAGCCGCGAATGTGAGGTGAGATGTCGGCAGAAACGGGAGGGGAGGGGGGAAGCCGGTAAAGTTTGTGTTGAGTTGCCGCTGAGGTGAAAGCGCAGCGTCTGAGGCGCCGGGCGGGGGGCGGGGGGTGGGGGGGGAAGGACGGCGTCCCCCGGCCAGGGTGTGGGAGCCGCGGGTCCCGGGTGGGGAAGGAGGAGGAGGAGGAGGGAGGGAGTCCCGGGGAAGAGTGTGGGTTCCGGGGAGGGAGGAGAGGGACGGACGGTCCCCGGCCAGGGGTGTGGGTGGCGGGGAGAGGGGGGGGTCCCGGCCCGGGGTTCACGCCGAGCACAGGGCGGGATCCCCCTCCGGTGGTTTTTACAGCGAGAGGCGAAGTGAGGCGAAGGGATTGTAGTTTGGCGGCGGCGGCGGCGGCTGTTGTTGTTGTTGATGATGTTGATGATGAAGTAACTACTCGCTAATTGTTTTTTAAAAAATCCACGCAAACTTTTCCGACGAGATCTCGAGAGCCCGCGACCGTGCACAAGTGTGTACAACTTTGCTCCCTCTCTCCCTCCCTCTCTCTCTCTCTCCCCACCTCTCTCCCTCCCCACCTCTCTCCCTCCCCACCTCTCTCCCTCCCTCCCTCCTTCTCTCTCCCTCCCTCCCTCCCCACCTCTCTCCCTCCCTCTCTCTCTCTCCCTCCCTCCCCACCTCCCTCCCTCTCCCTCCCTCCCTCTCTCTCTCTCCCTCCCTCTCTCTCCCTCCCTCCCTCCCTCTCCCTCCCTCCCTCCATCTCTCTCCCTCCCTCCATCCCTCCCCACCTCTCTCCCTCCCTCTCTCTCCCTCCCTCCCTCCCTCTCTCTCCCTCCCTCTCTCTCCCCCCACCTCCCTCCCTCTCTCCCCCCACCTCCCTCCCTCTCTCCCTCCCTCTCCCCCCACCTCTCTCCCTCTCTCTCTCCCCACCTCTCTCCCTCCCCACCTCCCTCCCTCCCTCTCTCTCTCCCCACCTCTCTCCCTCCCTCTCTCTCTCCCCGCTCTCCATCCCTCTCTCTCTCCCCGCTCTCCATCCCTCTCTCCATCCATCCCTCTCTCTCTCCCCACTCTCCATCCCTCTCTCTCTCTCTCTCCCCCCTCCCTCCCTCCCTCTCTCTCTCCCCCCCTCCTCTCCCTCTCTCTCTCCCCACCTCTCTCCCTCTCTCTCTCTCTCCCTCCCCACCTCTCTCCCTCCCTCCCTCTCTCTCTCCCCACCTCTCTCCCTCCCTCCCTCTCTCTCTCCCCACCTCTCTCTCTCCCTCCCTCTCTCTCTCCCTCCCTCTCTCTCTCCCTCCCTCCCTCTCTCCCTCCCTCCCTCTCTCCCCACCTCTCTCTCTCCCCACCTCTCTCCCTCCCTCCCTCTCTCTCTCCCTCCCTCCCTCTCTCCCCACCTCTCTCCCTCCCTCCCTCTCTCTCTCCCCACCTCTATCTCTCCCTCCCTCTCTCTCTCCCCACCTCTCTCCCTCCCTCTCTCTCTCCCTCCCTCCCTCCCTCTCTCCCCACCTCTCTCTCTCCCTCCCTCTGCTCCGTTTTGATTTGGATCTCCTTCGCCCATTTCAGATTAAATACACGGGTTTCCGCGATCGGCCGCACGAAGAGAGGCAGATGCGCTTCCAGAATGCTTCCAGGGACGGCCGGTCTGAGATCGTGAGTAAACCCCCCCACCACCCACCAACTCGTTCACTTCCTCGTCTGCACGGACTGGACACCGACACACACACGGCGGAGCGGGGGGGGGGGGGGGGAGTGTGTAGGGAGAGAGGGAAGTGAGAGGAGAGGGAATCGGAGCCTGTGATCCGGTACCAGAGCGAACACCCAATAACTCATCGCTCAGCGCACAAACCCAATGACAAGACCGTCAGACAGACAGTCAGTCAGACGGACACAGTCAGACGGACGGACAGACAGACCCCGAAGTGAAGCTCAGTAATCTGTAAATACACTGATTTTTGAGATGCCAGAAGGTCCCGCACGTTTGCGTACTTGGGGGGTGGGGGGAGTGTGGGGGGAGGCAGTGCAGCTCGGGATTGCCGTCAGGTAAACGTTTAGAGCAGAACCCGATGACTTGGGGGGTAAAGCGTTCCAGGTACTGAGTGAAAAATGTAGGATTAAACGAGATGGCGAAATGTTTTGTTTCTCTCTCTCTCTCTCTCTCTCTCGCTCTCAAGTTTTCGCCACTACTGTGCTGTCAGTAGGAATTACAACTGTGAACTAACTGCCGCTGAGCGTTTGTTCACGACTTCAGGGAATAGCCAGATCCCCTCGAGCAGAAAAATAATTGGAGTCTCTGGCATCATTTCTGGGGAGTCTTTTGACATTCCTCAACTTTTAGGCCTCAACGTGCCCTTTTTTTAAAATCTAAATGTCTATTAATCGCATTGTATTCATCAGGGCCTCGGCCGTATTTCTTTAAATGCTCTTTCAGTTAGAGAAACGTGTACACAGTTTGATTGCGTTTCATATACATTCCTCTTCTACTTTATAGACTTTAAGCTTTTCAACATGTGTACCAGAAGTGATTGAGTGAAGGCAGCGGTATTTGCTTGGAATGTGGTGTAAATAATGTTAACCATAATTTGCATTTTATTCTCATAATCGGTAACCATGATGTAGAGTGCTCAGGTACCATGAAATTGCTTTGTGGCTGAGACACAAAATAGTGAAATGTACTTCAAGTTTAAGGGGATCCCTTTTATCTATCCAGCAATGTTGATACGCCAGGTGAATTTCCACTCGTATATTGTCCATTACTTTATTCCAAGCCCGTAGTTGGAATGGACTCAATAAGTTCAATTTTTTTAATAAAGTTCTCTCAGCGCTGGGTCTCTATCCATTGCTTGTTCCCGATAGCATATTGAGATCGTTCAACACTTAGACAAATCCATGTGAAGCATTCCATGATGGAGTGGCAATGATTACTGTTCTGTCAGTAATCCCACATCCTGCGTTGCTGTTGTAATATGTTTTTTTTTGTAGAGGATTAAAATGCACAAGCATTGTCACAGCTGGTTGGCTGCTAATTTCTAATGTTTGTCAAATTCTATTGTTAGTAGTATATTTGGATTATATTACAGTTATATTATCTCTTGTTTAGAACTGTGGGAATGCAGACTTTGAATATTCAAGAGTAATAAAATCTTGAATATTTTTCTTTTTATTGCACGTTTACTCTACATGGTTTAAAATATTTGTCGTTAATTTTAAAATGCATTCTATATGCTTGGAGATTATTGCTAATCAATAGTTTACTGTGTGAACTAATGAGATTCTGTAATTCATCTTCAAAAAAAGTTAAGGATGGATAGATAATAGTGTCCTAACCCTAATATCTGCTGCTGTCCTGGTGCAGTATTGATAGTTATTTTATTATAATCTTCAGGAAAGAGTGAGTTAAACTGAGATGTCAAATTTCCATCAAAGGTGTATTGCATATGGTTCAGATGAACATGAACAGATGAACATCAGGTTCAGATGAACATTTGTTTTTTGAAGTAGTTTCAGTTCAGTGATTAATATTTAGTGCAATGTGACACAAGTAAAATCCCTGCTTTTCAGACAGATGGTTAAGCATTGAGCGTACAGTAGATTTTAGTGAAGCTTGGGCCCAGACTTTATATTCTCCACTAATTTTTCTCCCCTCACCTGAGCATATTTTGACTCCTTTCTTTTGAAAGTGCATTTGCTCTATGGGTGCCGGATGATCTTTGGTACCTTGTCTAGGTGGTCATTATTTTTGCGCCTTGACAGTAAATGTTGGCAGGCTTTTTTTTTTACCTCATAGCCGAGTCCAATCCTGTCTTCACCTGACATTCATCTACACACGCCTGCCAGCAATCATCCCTGGATCGCAATCGGGAACCAGACCACTGGCTGATTTTTACTAAAGCCATTTGTAATGCCCGCACTGTTGTCCTGGCTGAGATCAGCTGACTCAGCACAGACAAGGATTCAAACCTGCAACTGTTCGGTCAGCTTAAGCACATGTAAAATGTTATTTTGCATCTGTTTTGGGGAATTATTAATTGGGTCATTGGTACATGTCATCTACAAATGTACTGTGCAGTTGATCAAACTGCAGTTAAGCAGTGAACACTGAATGCAGTATTTTAATAATAATAAACCTTGCCTTATCACATCTTCAAGACATCTCAAAGTGCTTTACACAATTTTGTGGGCGAAACACGGCAGCCAATTGCGTACAGCAGTGACCCACAAACAGTTGTAGATTGAGTGACCAATTTTTTTGAAGGAATTTTTTTGTTCCTTTTCATTTGAAAATAGTTCTATGGAGTCAGTGAAAATGGTTGTCCTCTTTCTTTCACTTCTCTCCAAAGTCACAGATAGAATAAATATGAACCATGTTGTAACCAGGTCAGCTTGACCTTTGCCTTACACAGGCTATACAATGATGCCAAGCTCCATCCCCATGTGTCAAATTGCTTGCTTTAGGACAGTTATTAGGAATGTTTGAACTAAATGAGTGCAACTGATTATTTTGCTGTCCGCATACTGGAGAAGCCTATTCTCTGGATTTGATTCACTATATTCTACTGCCTTTTAAGAAATGTTTATTGAGAACTGTACATTGATTCAAAATATAGCTATTCAGTCCTGGCCAGTAGAATAATTAATGCTGAAAATATTGATCAATGCATTATTTCAAGCTATCCTGTGGGTTGCATGTCGGGGTAGAATTGAATGTCTGTAACTCTACACTTGATAAGAAATGATGAGTCCATGTTTGTGTGTAATTCTGAAGATTGGATATATTGTGCTGCCTGGCAGGCTTTGAGCATAGGGCTTGGCACTGATGTAAAATAAATGACTGACTGCATAATTTATTTAAAGTCCTGTTCTCTGATATAGTTTGTATTGATTTCCTGAAAGGCTTTTGTGGCTACTGGAACCAATCTATCTCTGCAGTTTTTCCCAGCAAACTGGCATGGGGAGCAACGACAAACACCAACCCGAGAGTATGTGGACTTTGATCGTGAATCAGGCAAGGTAAGAAAATTTCCAATAGATACCCAGAATAATTGCAAAGTCGAGGAGATTTGAAAGGGTTTTGTTAGTTTGCTTACTAATGTTGTTTCCCTGTTTGTTTGTGAACTATTCTAACCTGTGCTTCCATTTTTATTACGAAACCTCAAGCAGCATTTCCACAAAATTAGTTTGTAAACTATTGTGCAAATGAAATATGGTCCTTGTGCATCAGCAATTCCACCTTTTTTAAAAAAAAAACACTTCAATGTTTTAATGGTTTTCCACAGAGAATGGATGACAGTGAAATTGGGAAACTAAAAGGAATAGAATCATAGAATTATACAGCACAGAAAGAGCCTTTCGGCCAAATCGGGTCCATGCCAGTTCTTTGAAAGAGCTGCCCAAATTAGTCCCACTCCCCGCTCCATCCCCTGCTCTTCCCATAGCCCTGCAAATTTGTCCTCCCCAAATATCTATGTAGTTCTCTCTTAAAAGTTGCTATTGAATCAGCTTCCACCACCCTTTAAGGCAATGCATTCCAGATCTGAACAACTCGCTGTGTGAAAAAAATGTCTCCTCACCTTCCCTTTGGTTCTTTTGGCAACTATTTTAAATCTGTGTCCTGGTCAACCCTGCTGTATCTGCCCGAGTAGCCATCTTTCATATGTAAGGCCAGATGGTGAATACTGGTAAGAAATTACCAGCAGGAGTCACTGGAAAGCAGTTGGTATCCTGGTTGAATTCCTCCCCCCCCATATTTAGGGATACTAAAGTAAATTTTACAATTATAAAAGCTCTCAAAATGTTTCTCCAGCTGAATTTAGCACAGACTTGACAATTGAAACCTGGGTGACCCTCTGTTTTGTGGTTTGGTGTGACGTAAGCTAGTTAGTACCTTTTCATACTTAGACATCATGGAACCTGCGAGGTGCATTTTTGAATTAATTACCGCAACAGCAGAAGATGTATATGAAATCTTCTCTGGAGGATTCTATTAGTATCCACACAGAAATCAAGCAAAATAATGCATTCCATCAAGCTGTGCAGTAGGGGCAGGGGATTCACTGTTGAGGTGAGCTTTGTATAAATTGTTTTATGGTGAGGTTGTCATAGTCAGTTATGTAAAGCAGCAAAAGACACATAATGGCTCGTCAGTTTGCTGTAGCTTCCCAATCTGAATTGAGTCTTCAAAAAGAACTGCCCTATGTCTGATTTGAACTGAGCTTGTAGTAACATTGGGAAAGCTGTCTGCTTTGCTCATTTTGCAATTCAATTGCATCATATGTGAGCCAAGCTGTTCTGGCTTGTTTCTAGTCTCACTAGAAAAGAGAAAGGCACAATTTAAGAACTTGCATGGTGGAAGGATATGCTCTCTGCTTAATACATTTCCAAACACCGTTTCCAATATGACCCTGTCCAGCACAGTATCTGAAGTCTGTATGGATATATCCCATCCTGTAGCTCAGTGGTTAGACAATCGCCTCGCAAGCAGGGGAAAATGTTGGGCAAGTTTCCTTACCTCTCTCTAGCAGTTAAGTCGATTGGCGGATCGCTTTTCTGGGGGGAATAACTCCTTCAAGAAAATAATAATAATAATTTGGTCACTCAATCCGCAACTGTTTGTGGGACACTGCTGTGTGCAATTGGCCACTGCGTTTCGCCCACAAAATATACGGTCAATTCACTGTACAGTATTTTCTGTGAAGGCGTCTCGAAGGCGTCTTCGTGATAAAAGGCTATATCAAATGCGAGTATTATTATTATCCTGCACTAAATTGGTAACAAGATGGCAAGGGTTTAAATACAGTTGCAGATGATGCATACAAATCGATATTATATGAACATTTGCAACTTGCTAAAAAATTTGTTACTGTACTCTAGTAAAATATACCAAACTGCACAGTAAGGATTTTGCAGATACATGCAGTTTGTTTATTTAAAGATTTATCATCACTTGTCTGTTCAGTGTGGGTTCAATACATCGTGTGCGAGGAGGAGATGAAAACCTTTGTGATGAAAGTATCGCAGATAAGGCAGGAAGGAAGACTCCTACAAGAACATCTTGTTACAAGGATGTTTACTGTATTGTATGTGAACATTCTATTCTATTATAGTAAATGCGTTTGAGTCAAATGAAAATATTTTAGCAGCATGACTATGCCAGAACAGTCAGGGTGAATCCAGCAATAAAATGCAAAGTTTAACATATTCTCAAGCAAAAACAGGCTCTGGGGTTGTGTTCCAAAGCTGTGCACCTATCTCTGGGTTTACATGACTTTTAACTTCATGATCTTTTGAGTTGTTCCTTGTTACAGTGTAATGTGTAATTCTGTAGCTGACCAATGTACTACTTATAATTAGGGCGTCTGATTTTTGGTTTTAATTGAAAACCTGACACAAAAAAAATGTAATTGGTGTTTATTCAACAAACACAGCAAACCGCCATAAATTACCTGTATTGACGCAAACTGTGCATGTGATATTCTTTCTCCATCTCCCCTCCGTGTGCACAGGCACGTCTGATGATTTTGTGAGAGGAGGGAGGCAATGCGTGCAAATGCCTCTCTCCCCTCCTTGTGTGCAGGCATGTCTGAATCTCATTACAAGTAAAAGCCCCCAAAACCCTATTTTTTTTCTGTTGAAAAATAAAATTTTAAATCAGAAAAGCAAAGGGCTACTTATAATCATTTTCCAGTCATTTGCCATTGTTTATCCTGTGTCTTATTAGCCGGGACCATACCATTGACTTGCATGAAGTCCGAGTTGCAGGCAAACTGTATAAGTAGAATCAAATAGGATTTAATAAACCTATACTGCACATCCATAATTCAATGCAGCAAGTAAATGCACGTGTGGTAGTTCTTTACTGCAGCCGGTAAGTGCCCATCCAGTGACGGGTCAAGACTACATTTCTTGCGATTCAATATGTCTTGACCCATCGCCGCATGCCTACTTGCCCGCAAGCGTTGGAATTGCATTGAATCGCAGGAATTGAAGTTCTTCCGTGTGTGCATTGATAGATCAATACTACATTTCCCGAAATTCAATGCAGCCGGCCAGTAACTGCGCATGTGTGGATGGATCAGGACGTCCTTTCTCACGATTCATGGCAGCCGGTCTGTGCGAGAGTCATGGAGGCTAGGGAGCAGAGTTATGAGTTAGGAGGTGATTAATATGAGTAATGCAAAGAAATCTAAATGGCTTTCAATAGGAAACTGAATAGGACTTGGGTGAATTTGCAACTTAGGCAATTGAACGATTTATAAAGATGAGACTTCTGCGAGTCTTACTGTATTTTGTTGTTGTTGTATTTAAAGAATAAGATTAGCCCTACAGAGGAGAAGGAAATGCTGCATAATTTAAGTAATTGAGCCATTGTTGGTGCCACACAATGGATAAGTTGTTTCAGAATTGTTCACTTATGGTATGATGGTGTAAAACTACGAAAGAAGTCACATGCCCTCGGGAGCTGCATTCCCAGTTTTGTGGTGTGGCTCTCTTTGTAAGTCTATACTTTGGCAGGTAATTGCTGAAGTAATTGGGCAAAATGAGACTTGTTTTTAATATTGTTGCAGTGTTTGAAGCTTGTGGTGTTAACTTTCTGGGGAGTTGAAAGCAAGCATTTATGTGCTTGGCAGTTGTACCATACGGAGCAAAGAGCAGAATGTGCTTATTGATGCTGACAATTGTACTGGGGACATTGAGCTACAGTTGTAAACCTCTATAAACTTATAGGACACACAAAACACATTTATGGAGACTTAGTGACCCAGAGTTTATCCATTTTAGCACTGGGTGATGGCTAGTTAGCGTGGAAACCCGGTCTACTGAACTATCAGGAGAGCATGGATATCTGTTGTGGATATACAATAATAACCCTTGCATTTGATATAGCGCTTTTCACATCTGCACTGTAAAGCAAATTGACTGTATATTTGTGGGCAAAACGTGGCAGCCAATTGCGCACAGCAGTGTCCCACAAACAATCGTGGATTGAGTGACCAATGCAAGGCTAGTGCTCTAACCACTGAGCTACAGGACTCCACTGCAATAGACTATGTTCTAAACAATTCTGCTCTCACAATTTCTCTTCTATGTTCGAATGGGGCCACCCTGGATATGTTAACCAAAGGAAAGTTTTCAAATAAAAAGGCAGGCTTAGGTTTGAATATGTGAAGATGAAAAGCAATCTGGAGCTTTCGTGTTGAAGTAATACTGTTTTCACCTCTTAAAAGGGTCATTCTTTTTAGGAACTTTTATTTTTTTTTAAAAAATTCTTAAAACTAGTTTTGGATCTGATTACTGAAGATATCTGGCCTCTAAACTGTTTAATTGTGTGTGAAATGAAGAATGTTAAAGATTCCAGTACTGCTTGTGTCGTGTTTCTTTCCCACCCACATTGCTTCTGTTGTCAGACACTAATTTCTCACTAATCACTGAGGGCGAATGACTTCCTGTCTGCTTCTTGCTGGAATAATGGGGTACATTGTTTCTTTTTAAAAAAATTGCAATGTGTGTGATCCGGTTAAACCAGATGGGTGACATTACTACAAAACAAGAAACTGTTTACTGTACCTCCATCTTGACTGGCAAGTGTGTTTTGTGATTAATCATATGAGATTGTTAGGGTGGGGGAGATTGCAGTAATGATATTTTTCTGTATGTGGCTGTTTATTAATTAGGAGACGAGTGCACATAGCTGAATTCGTTCTTCATGATGTCAATCAATGCTGGTATTTCAGAGCCAGATTCGGACAACACTATCAGCCATTTCAAAAGATGAATGTGCAACCAATAAATTTATTCAAATAAACGAGTGACTTATTTCCTCAGATTGGAGGTGGTAATAATAAATAATCCATGCATTTGACACTGCGCTAGTATCTTCAGACTCTCAGAGCTTCAAGAAATTTGTATAAAGTGTCGTACCTTTTTTTTTCTTTGAATGTGGCAGTCCCCCCACCCCCAGGGGGTCATTAAGTGAATCACCAGTTTTATCTGGAGGTGTCAACCTGCCCCTT